TAACGAATGGAGAATCAGGCCGATGCGGCAAGGTGGAGGAAACAAGTCATCTAGAGATTTTAAAAATAAAAACAATCGTACAATTGACCTCGCATTCACGAGCGCCACTGCACGGAGCTTCAGATGCAACAGGATAGTATTATTACTCTTGCGTAATCAGCTTGTTGACGTTATTATGTCCATTTCCTCCTCATGTATAAGCGTGAGAAGTCCCGCAAAAACTAGCTAATGAGTCTGATGAATCCGGGGCACAGGGTAATGTTCCATGTAAGGTGATGCAGAGGCGGATGCCCTTTGAATATATATCATTTACTATGGACTACCATTAGGTATGTTTGACAGTTGGACAGATTGGGGGTTTTTGGTTGCTCCGCCCATTTTCGAGATATGGGGCAGTTCTGATTCGAAAGAGCACCTTTTTTTCAAGTATTTGACTACTTACACTTTGCTGAAACCTCCAATAGTACTGTATGAACAGACGATTTATGAGTTTATTGCCGTTGGCCTTCAGTAATTGTTTCTGTTTGGCTGTCATTTGTTTGTAGGGAAGTGCAGCTTCCACTAGAGAGATGACTCGATGGAATACCGGAACGGTTTTCCAGCAGCTGAAGTGTCGGGTTACTCGGTAGACCTGGAATATGACCAGTTGCAGGGCATTCGTCTAACTAGAGACCGGTCAGACAATGGACTTTCAGTAAGTAAATGGGACCATTAGGTAGCTAAGAATAGGATAATGTAGGTCAAGCTTGACGCGCTGAATCGTCTAGTCTAATTTTCCTCGCGCTCTGACTAAAATTGACAGACTTACGGTAGATTTTGTGTTTCGTGGCGGGACCCGAAAAATGAAAATTTTATCAAATCTAATCATGATGACACTCATTCGAACCGCCTTTTCATGTTGATTCGAGTGGTATATTTTTCAATGAGATCCGATGAAAACTGACCAAATTACGATAGATTTTGTGTTTTCGTGGCGAGACCCAAAAAATTGAAAATTTTCAAAACTAGTCATGATTATACTCATTCGAACCGCCTTTTTATGCTAACTCGACTGGTATATTTTTCAATGAGATCCGACGAAAATTGACCAAGGTACGGTAGATTTTGTGTTTTCGTGACGAGACCCAAAAAATGAAAAATTTTCTAAACCTAGTCATGATTATCCTCATTCGAACCGCCTTTTTATGCTGATTCGAATGGTATATTTTTCAATGTGATCCGGTGAAAATTGAACGCTATGGCTTTCTTTAGGTCAAGTTAGGTTCTAATGGTCTGTCTGTACTTACTTACTCCCTTATGTACCGCACCTCCATCAATTTTTTTTTCCGAATCTCGAAAAAAAATACCATGTTCAGAATCAGTGCAACGAGTCGATTCGAATGAGTATAATCATGAATAGGGTTGAAAAAATTTTCGATTTTTGGGTCTCACCGCGAATACACAAAATCTATCGTATCTTGATCAATTTTCATCGGATCTCCTTGAAAAATATACTACTCGAATCAGCATAAAAAGTCGGTTTGAATGAGTATAAATTTTTTATTTTTCGGGTCTCGTCACGAAAACACAAAATCTACCATAAGTCTGTCAATTTTAGTCAGCGCGCTAGGAAAATAAGACTAGACGATTCAGCGCGTCAAGCTTGATCTAGAGGAGGCCCAAAGGTCCCATTTACTTACTGAAAGTCCACTCATACCGGTCCCCAGAAAGCAAAAAAACCCACCCGAATAATATCCACTCTTTGTATCTTCCCACTCTTATCCTTCCCGACTTTATAGGCTCCTCTTAAAACTCCTCTACACATTAGAGGAGTCACTTTATAGAAATCGTCTTTCCAGTTGTCTGTTGCATAGTAATGAGTCGTAGACATTGTCTGTTTCCAGTGAATATGGTCGGCGTCCTCTTCAATCATTTGCATGGAGACCAGGTTGGAGTCACAGACGAAACAGGCGGTGTCAGCGACTTCGGTGGGGGCTATCTGGAAATCGGAGGGGTCAGGGTCGCGGCAACTTGCCAATGGCTTTTTATCTTATTTGGCAAGCTAGGAGCAAGTTGCTCAGTGACTATTTTTGCCCGGCAACTTGCCCAAGCCCCTTGCCCATTCTTAGATACCACCTACCGTCGCAATGAACTTCTTCGGGCACTGAACTGCGTGCAGAATCGTGTGCGGACCATCCAAAGGATGCTCATCGTCGTTACTGTACACCGGAACGTCTTGCCCTCCTTTCCCCGGATGGGTTGTCACCTCAACCTTCATCTTCCTTAAGATCTTCTGTGGATCCTTATTGTTCATATTCTCCTCGGTGTCCGATAGCTCCTCCTCCGACTCACTCTCGTCTCCGTTATCATCTATGATAACCGCGAATAGGTCGTCTTCCACGAATCTGTATTTTTTTTTGAATTTTTTAGGCCAGATTTTTTTCTGGAAACCTGACAAGTCGTAGGAGCAGCACACACTTCAAACAGACACTCAGAAAATTTTTTTTTCAGAAAAAAAAATTGAAAACAATTTATTTTCAGCCAAAAAGTGGAAAAGAAGAAGAAAAAAGTTTCGTTGATTATCTATATTTTTTGAACAAACATGTTTCTGATAAGCGAAAGAAGGACGGATCGGAGAGAATGCATAGTGGGAAAGACGGACTGAAATCGATTTTTTGAAGACGGTATAGTTCAGAAGTAAGCGACAGTTTTGGCAACTTTTAAGACACGAACCCGTAAATTTTGAAGAGAGAATAAGTTGAGGACAAGGAGAAGAAGAAAAAAGAGAAGAAGTACATAAAAATGGCGAGAAAAACAAGATTAGGCACATTTTGGAACGATAAGGAAGGACAGGTATGGTGGGGGACTGATCGGGGATGAATTAAAGAAAAAACAAAAAATTTTGACCCCCCGCGGAATTGAACCCGCGTCCACAGATTCTTAGACAGCAGCGTTATCCGCTACGCCACGCGGGGCCACGCGAGAGAGGACGTAGATATTGCTGCGGCGCTTTGCCTCTTCTTCCTCTCACCTGCGTGGTGTAGCGGTTAACGCTGGTGTCTGAGAATCTGTGGACGCGGGTTCGATTCCGCGGGGGGTCAAATTTTTTTGTTTTTTCTCTCCAACCACCCATCACCCATACCAAGCTCCCCACCACATGTAAAACAGGACAGATACACATATTCAATTACAAAAAACAACTACATCCTTTGCAACCTTTTCCGCGCAGCCGGATCAGTAACAAATCGCAGTAATCGCTGCCGCCTCGGATCGAATTCCTTCTGCACACGCGCCTTTTCGACGGCTTTCGCATTTCTCCATAGGTATTGTACAAATAACCGTTTTTTGAATGTGGTGCCACCTGATGACGTCGATGGCTCATCCACCACTTTGTCGATCATGGTGACTATCCGATGGAATGATGTGCATGTCTTCCAGAATGAGTAGTACCTAATCACCTTGTAGACGTTGTTCAGAGGCACTTTATTCGCGTCGTGATGGGTCATTCGGCTTGGTGTCGTGTGAGCGGTTTGATGGGTTCCGCCGGAGATCGAAGATCTGGAGATGATTAAGGATTTATGGAGAAGGACAAGATGAGATCTTGGACTTTAGATCAGAGATCGGGAGCTGTATGTTAGGAGCAAAATATCTCGGTTGTCTTAAGAGCTATCAAAAAATTTTGAACTAATGAAATGTTTGAAATGAACTGATAAATATTTTGTTAGTTAAAAAAATTTTGAAATTGTCAATGGCAACCGAGATATACTGCTATTTTTTTTTCTGAAAATTCCGAAAATTCCGGAAATTCCGCAAATTCCGAAAATTCTGAATAATCCGATAATTAAGGAAATTCCGAAAATTCTGAAAAATCCGAAAATTCCAAAAATTCCAAAAATTCTGAAAATTCCGAAAATTCCGAAAATTCCGAAAATTCTGAAAAATCCGAAAATTCCGAAAATTCTGAAAATTCCGAAATTTCCAAAAAAATTCTAATAGGTCAAAATTCTTCATGACCATTTTTCTTTGGACAAAATTTCCTCCAGAACGAAATTCAGAGCTCTGTTGAGAATCCTAGGCCACCGGTTCGTTCCTATCTCTTTTCAAAGCGATGTAAAAACCCTTACCTCGGCGTATTAGACATGCTATGATGAAGGGGATGAACTTGCGCATGTGTTGAGGCGGATAACGATTGCTGATGGGACTGCGACGCCGACATTGATGTAGATGGTTGATAGGGCATCTTAGAAATCAATCACCATGAGTAACGCTTCCTTTTACCTAGCTTACCTGTGTCGCCAACTTCGCCGTTATCACCTTGTTCTTCGCCGTGATACAATTCACCCGATGGAACTGCCGCAGATCATCAGAGTAAAAGTACTTGGTCGGTCGACTTGTATGCCTCCACCACTGATCATCACTCATGATATCGCCGTGTTTGACCCGTTCTCCATCGACCACAAAACAGTAGTTGTCCTCGACCATGATCGGTGGGATGGCGTTGGTGAGCATACTCGCCGGAGCGGCCATCAGGTTCGCAAGGGCCGCTTCCGTTTGTACTGTGTCGTGGTGGACGGAGTGGACAGGCATACTTTGGTGGAATATCACTGGTTCGTCGCGGGAGAGCAGGGTTTCTGGGGTTAGACCTGGAAGGAGTTATAGATTTTGGTAAGGAAGACATGATAGGAGGGTTCAAGAGTCCGTAACTGGTCGGGAGCCCGTGACTGGCCGGGAGCCTGTGACTGGCCTGGAGCAGGGTTGTGCGAAAAATTTTTCGGTTTTTTCGGACAAAATTTTACGAAAATTTTTGGGAGGTCATTTTTAGCACAACCCTGGTCGGGAGCCCGTGACTGGTCGTGAGCCCGTGACTGGCCAGGAGCCTGTAACTGGCCGGGAGCCCGTAACTGGTCGGGAGCCCATGACTGGTCTGGAGCCCGTAACTGGCCGGGAGCCCGTGACTGGCCGGGAGCCCGTGACTGGCCGGGAGCCCGTGACTGGCCTGGAGCTATCTCAACATGGTGCATCGACTCACCTGAATCCACCAACTCAAACGCCCCGAGGTCAATGTCGTTCTGCGGTTGTATCCTCTCCTGCTCCACCAGCACCCCCATCGGCTCCTCCTCGGATTCAGACGACTGCGGTTCGAAGGAAACGGGACTGGAATTATGTTTTGTTGGATGGGAAGAGACTCACTTGCCCCAAAATCGGCCCACTTGGCCCAAAATCGGCCCACTTGACCCAAAATCGGCCCACTTGGCATGAAATCGGCCCACTTGGCCCAAAATCGGCCCACTTGGCATGAAATCGGCCCAATTGGCTCAAATTCGGCCCACTTGGCTCAAAATTGGCCCACCTGGATCGGAATCGGCCCACTTGGCCCAAAATCGGCCCGAATTTGCCGTTGAGATTTTTTTTCAATGGAGCGCGCTTGTAGAGCAACTTGCCGTTTACGGCAAGCAAAGGGCAAGCTGCCCAACAGCAAAATTCAAGTTTCCATAACAAAAAATTAGTGCAAAACGGTAAATCATGCTTCTAATTCAAAAAAAAATCATTCAAAAGTACCTGGGCAACTTGCTCTCGTGCACTTCCTCCGGAATAATCTCCGGCGGCTCATAGTTATTACCGCTCACAGAGCACTGTGAGAACGAGGAGGGTCTCGGTTGATAGTAGACTCTGGGTGCCGAATGAAGTTGACGGGAGGAGTGGGGTACCGAAGTCGTTGAGTATACTTCAGGACACTCGGCGGATAACAAAAGATGTGGTATGCATTCTCTGAACCGATTAGTCGTAGTAAGGGGGATGCAGATAAAAACAAAGAGTGCAAAAGTATAAAAGGATGCAAAAAAAATTCTTGCAAAGGGTAAGATCGTTGACAGTGGAGGGTAGGTAGATCAAAAAATTTTTCTTCCAATTTTATTTTCTAAAAAACCTCACCTATCATCCTCCTCGTCGTCAAACTGTTCTTCCTCATCTAGTTCCGTCTCCTCCTCCTCATCGATATCTTCCGGTGGGTATTGGAACGATCGTGATGCGTCTTCAAGCATTTGGATGTACGAATCCCAGTCCTGCATGCAGGCGAGACCGATTGGCTGGAAATTGAGGGGTTTGATGGGGTAAGGGGGGTCTTACTTAAGTAGTTATGTACTTAGTTACCTACTTACTAGCTTGCTTACTTATCTAGTTGCCTCTTGCTCATTACCTTAATGGGCCAGGAATTTCCTATAAATTGGTGGTCTAAAAGTAAATACTCTTGTAAGTGGATTCTGAAATTTCCAGCCCTCACTGAAGTCTAAGAGTCTGGAAATCTTAATCTGAAATCGCCAAGGAGGCGGGGCCAGATGAAGATTTCCAGACTCTCAGATTCTAGTGAGGGCTGGAAATTTCAGAATCCACTCACAGGAGCATCTACTTCTAAATCATCAATTCATGGGAAATTCCTAAAAGAAAAATATTTCCTTGTTAGCTGCATTGTCACTTACACACTTACTTGACCGCTTACATACCTACTTATCTAGTTACCTAATTACTTTTATAGCCGTATTTCACTTACTCAATGACTTATCGCTTAGTTACTTACTTAACGGCTTAGTTACTCCGTTAGTTCATTCGTTACTCAGTCATAATGTACGAAAGTAGTTAATTTTTTTAATCAGTAACCGAACATTTTGATTTTTTGACGTCGCAACAGAGCGAATTTGCTATTCAAAACTCTTGTTACTTGCATAGCTCCTTAATTGGTCTTGGACCAATTAAGAACAATAACACGCAGATAAAAACTCTAGGCTTAGAATCAGTATTGCCAGCAGGGTTGAGCGAAACATTTTTCGTTTTTTCGGAAATTTTCAAAAAAAATTTTCGGAATCGGAAATTTTCATCGAGAAATCGATAATTCACTAGCGATCTCTGAAAAAAAATCTGAAAAATGAAATTTTTTGTTGCTTTTTGCTGAAATGGTTGAGGCTGGAATAGAAAAACAATTCATTTACGTTTCAAAATTTTTTTTCGATTTTTTTCGTTTTTTTTTTCAGACAAAATTTTTCGAAAAAAAAAATTTTTCGATTTTTCTTTCGGAGGTCGTTTTTCGCATAACCTTGATTGCTAGAATAGCAAATGTGCTCCGTGGCAACTCCGCGAATTCAAAATTTTCGTTTTAGCGGTTAGATTTCCTTGTTAACGTAATTAAGACATTTTCCGCGTAATTAAGACATTTTCAGAGTAATTAAGACATTTTCAGCGCAATTAAGACATTTTCAGCGTAATTAAGACATTTTCAGAGTAATTAAGACATTTTCAGCGTAATTAAAACATTTTCAGCGTAATTAAGACATTTTCAGCGTAATTAAGACATTTTCAGCGTAATTAAGACATTTTCAGCGTCATTAAAACATTTTCAGCGTAATTAAGACATTTTCAGCGTAATTAAGATATTTCGATGTCAAAGTCGATAACCAGAATAGTGCTGCTCGAATTTCAGCCTACTTCAAGGCCAAATTTCCAATGAAGCATACAAAAAGCAAAATCAAAGACACAAGGAAAGCGTAGAAGCACAGATAGGATAGAAGCATGAACAAAAAGGCGTTTACAAAGAGTTTTTCTAGCATAAACAAGACATTTTAAGCTCACTTACCGACCGCGGACTAATCAGCACCACGGACTCTGGATTAGACTCGCATGACAAATCAGGCAGGGGAGTTTCAGTCGTTTCAGACGTTTGTGTCGGTGATTCCAGCGATCGTTTCGTAGAGTTTCGCACCAATTTGAATAGTTTCGGCAGGTCGTCTTTGATAAGAAGTTCTGGACGAAATCGGCGAGGACTAACATTTAACCAGTCAAATGACGTTAAGGGATTCTGCTGCCTGGCAACTCTCTCCTTATTTTTTCTCTTTAGAAGCGGTTCTGGTGACGTGGCAATCTTATTTTCATCAATGACGGATAACCGTTTAGGAGACAACAAAAGCTTAGGGACATAAGGGGGCGGAGCTTGGGGGTGCACCACCACAGGCGGTCCGGTGCACGAGGCAGCATCCCCCACTCCATGATGATGATTCGTTGAGATCTGAGATTCGCGAAAAGCACCAAACACAAGATTGTTACATGCGTCAT